TTATTAAAATATTATAAAATTAAATTATTAGTTTATTATATTATTGAATGCAGGCTTGCAACTTTGTACGTACGCGACAGAATTAAGTACAGTGTAGAAATGTGGTGAATACTATTTTGGTGAAAAATGACACGTCTTTATATGGTCATAGGTATGTCTTTGCTAGCTGGTAAACAATCTGATAATTATTCTGCATTTCACGTAAGTAAATCATAAACATGCAAAATAACAAGTATAAGAAAAAAGAATAACAAATTATCACGAATAAACAAAATATATAGAGCGACGCAGTTTGTTGTGGGTAACAACGACACAATGTCGGATAGGACTGATTTTATATACGGCATTGCCGTGATTAGTTCAGTACCTGCGTGCGACTGCTTACGACGGATGGAACGGTCGACTTTCTGGAACACAGGTCAGGCGCAAAGCAAAGGTTAGGCCAGCCGTTCGGTTCAGCGTTGCTGCCTTGAGGTGCACCGAACTTAGAATTGAATGAACCATTAACACGTTCTTTATGATAATGTTTTTTTTCTGCATCATTGTATTTTTACAAATTATGGTGATAAATAAATTTTTTGAATTGAATTGAATTGAATTATTAACATTACAACATAGCAAGCTATAGGCTGAATAGCTACTTGCCTGAGTCACACTACTCACTAGTATAGCATATAATCATCTCAATGGAAATGACGTCATTGTTTTGCATTAACGCAATGATGTTAAACTTCAAGTTTTGTTATACTTATATGCCTATAAAGTATTGTTACTAGGTTTAAGCAACACGTTGGGTTGCTCTAATTTAATTTAAGCTAACGGGCGTGGCTTTCGATAGTCTATATGATATATCCAATTGGCAATTATTCCATAGACTATATCCTATTAATTTAGTATTTATATGAAATGCAAGTTCCTGTTGTGTTGGCACTATTTCGCAAATCCATCCACTGTGTTAAATCCATTTTCCAAAATTTTACACAAATATATCATTAACAGACTAAGAAGAATTCAAAGAGAGTTGCGCCTTAATTGCCTCTCGTGACATTATCAGTTTGGATGAGGCATTAGATTTAGTGCAGTTGGTTGAGGACTTGTTGTCGCAGGTAGGCCTACTGCAGTCGGATTGTGGTAAGTATTAATGTGGCACTTGTTTTTGTTAAATCACTTCTGTTTCAGTTTTCAGAAAACTTCCCAATTACTGCAATCTAACAATAGCTTCGGAATACAATTTTCTTTTTTTATTCACAGCTGAAAATCAACCTAGTGGGTTTTACATTTCTAAAAATGGGGCTGCAACGCCAAGAGGAGGGGCTCCGAAATACCAGATTCAGCGGGAACAATTAGAATTTTTGCTGGCTTGTCGATTTACTATTCCACAGATGTCAGACATTCTGCATGTTTTTAGCAGGACAATACAGCGTCGCCTACGGTTAGTTTTACAGTTCATAACTCAAATAAGTTCATGGGTCAACATTGATAGAAATGCTATTATATGTTTGTCAGTATGTTAGTTGCAAAATGTAGGTAAACTTTATTTCTATCTTTCAGGAAGTTCCACTTGTCTTCCAGAAATTTGTTTTCTCACATCAGCATTGATGAACTGGATTCAGCAGTCAGGAATATAGTGGAATACAATCGTCGCCTTGGTCCAAATTCAGTTGTCATGCAACTCAGAGTCAGAGGACTTAGTGTTCAAGGACAGCGTGTTCGAGATGCAATGCATCGTGTTGATGCACCAGGCTTTGCCATCCGATCTGTACACAGACTCCACAGAAGAACATATAAAGTAGCAGGCCCGAATTCTCTTTGGCATATTGATGGATATCATAAACTCAGCAGGTAAGAGATTGGCTGCAAATTGTCAGTATCGGTATGAATGTCTATGAGATACTGAAAAGGTTTGTTCAAATTTACAGATATATCTCTTTATACTAATCTGCACAATATTTGTTTAATGTATAGTTGCACTATGTGCATGTGATACTTCTTTTGATACTTCTTTTCTTACTCTACTGATTTTGCAGGTGGCGGATTGTAATTCACGGTGGCATTGATGGCTACTCACGGATGATTGTGTTCCTCAAAGCATCAGATAACAACCGTGCAGATACGGTAATGGATAATTTTTTGGAAGCCACAGCACATTACAGCGTTCCGTCTTGAGTACGGTGTGACCACGGAGGAGAAAACGTCCTTGTTTGTACCTTTCTGGAGACATACCATGGCTCTCATAGAGGTAGCGCCATACGTGGAAGAAGTGTACAAAATCAGCGAATTGAACGCCTATGGGTCGATGTTTGGAATGGATGTGTGAACACGTTCTATGACTTATTCAACTTTATGGAAAGTGAATGTTTACTTGATGTGGATAATGAATTGCAACTGTTTGCTCTGCATTATGTTTTTTGCCTTAGATAAACAGACAAGTAACTATATTCAGAGAACAGTGGAACCAACATATGGTCTTCGTACTGAAAACAGTCAAAGTCCTATTCAGTTGTTTGTACGTCAGTCTTTAGCTTTATGCAATTAAGGACGAACTGCATCTCAAGGAATTTTTGGATATGGTCAACATATCAGTGATACCAGTGGTGAGCAAATGAATGCTGACCACGAAACAACAGAACTTGAAAATTATGGAATTGACTGGGGTGGACCAGTTGGAGATGAGCTTAATGAATCTTCAACTGTTGACGTATCACGGTGAGTGATTTCTACTCAGGTGTCAGAGGTCCAGATGCAAGAACTACAGCAATTGGTCAACCCCCTTGATTCATCTGATAACCTTGGTATCGAGACGTATATGAAAACATTAGACGTTGTCCAAAGTTGGACACAGTAAATTGTGTAAGGCAGAGCAGAATGATGATGTCTCTGCATGTGAAAGGCATTGAACACATACTTAAATTGACTACGTCACAAATTTTCTATGGTGTATATTTTGTAAAAATTGTGTTGCCATTTTTTTACATTAAAAGGAGACACAAACGGGACTAAATATATCGTCAAATTCTTACTTGATAAGATTGTTTCTCAACTAGTTAAAAATCAAAAAAACCAGAAAGATTTGATATAATGATCCTGCCATTAATTGCTGGCTATGGGCTAATACGCCGCTATGTATGAGTCACGAGTGTATGTTTACATCGAACAATATAGTAAAATAGGAAGTATGATGCAGCAATTTAACCATAAAAAGTGAACAGAATTACTTACATTTTGTGAAAAAGTGGAAATATTTTTGTTTAGTTTTACTATTTATGGTGATGTATCACTTTAAATATAATCTGTACACCCTTAAAGATCTATTAAACACTGCTGTCGAACTCTACAGGTGATCCTAGTGTATGTTTAAATGGTACTTATATCAAGTGAGCGATTGTAAAGATATTATTATATATAAAGCCAACCGTAATATGTTCTTAAGCAATAATATAAATAATATGAGCATAAGCACAGTCTAAAATGAACATGAAACGACATGGAATATAATGTAATAACTGTTATAACAAGTGCCGCGGAGCGACAGCGCTCAACTGAATTCCAATGGCCTATACGTGTACGCAGGATTTTGAACTTTACACGAACCCTAATTTGTATTTATTTTACCCTATCGGTACTGATGTCCATGTATTTTCAATGTTGCTTCCAGTGTGAAAATTTAACAGTAATATAGCCAGGGCTATTAAAATTTTCAATGACTGTACATAGAATAATAGGTTATTGCACGAGTTGATTTGTAGACGATTCTTGGTTTGAGCCGTTTCAAGTTGCCAAGAATCAGTACAATCAGTTAGCTCCAAAGCCACTCCCCGGAAGAAGCCAATAACAGTAGTTATTTTTACCCTTCCGATGAGTAGCTATGGCGTTTAATGGCATGGTAGCGTTTAGTGCACAAGTATTGATTCTTGGCAACTTACACTCTCGGTCAAAATGCAGCATAATGACCGAACTGAAGCCACCGGGAGGCACGGTCGTGCTTCCTGTAAAGAACATCAGAACATCAGAAACTCTGATAGCGATGTCCTCTACAGGAGGCTGGAAGTCCTCCCGTTGAGCTTCAGTCTTGCAGGTTGCCAATCCGCGATGTACATCCTCGAGAAACGACTGAAACCAATAGTATGCCGCGTTTTCATCCTTGTACAATTGGGATCTCTCTTTCCCGCAACTGTTCAACTCAAAGAGCTGCAAGAAGGCGGCTTCTGTGAGGTCCGGGATGCTGTCCCGTGACAGAAATTGTATGGCCGCCTCCACCGCCTCAGGGGTTGACTTCCAGATGTCCAGCATTGGCTGAAGACCTAAAGGATAACATCATGCAAATTATTAGCATACACCATAACACCTATCAAGGATAAAACAAGGTAATGTAATGGCATTTCGTTATAAAAAGTATGGGGGTGTCTGAATTCTGAAACGGAGATCGAAATAGCTCTGCTGCTGCCGATGAATTGATGCATATACCCCTGGTACACATTTTGATTTCTTTTGCTGACATGCCCCCCCACAGTTTTAAATGGAATAGCCCTTACACAGAAGGATTATTATAGAGCGTCCCAGAAAGTAAATCGGCATCATTCCTGCTAAATGCTAGTTGCACTTTTCTAACATATTCTGACCGTACAAGAAAACTTGTCAACGTCCATCATATATTAATAGGTTTCTCTTTAATTACCAAAATAAACAGCTTTTAAATAGCTGTGATCAGAAATTTTCAAAATAAAGCACTTTTGCCTAGCCTTTAAAAATCAATTTTCAAATAAAGCACTTTTACCAAATAACCAAACCCCGCGGCTACTCTGCAATTCTTTAGTAGCTTACCGGCCTGAAAGTCAACGACAGCATTCATCTGGTGTGACAGAACATCACGGCGGAAAAGCCCTCGCACCCATCTTGCCCGGTCTGCCTCCGAGAGAGCCGTTATTGGTTTGGAGCAGCCGATTGTCGGTCGATCAATGACCTCATCGACATCTTGCAGGCAGCAGTTCATCAGCTATTCGTAAATATAAAGAGACATGCTAATTTAAATGGGTAGCTTAATAGATATTATGTGTAAGGCCACGGGTCACATGGTGCACAATCACAATGGATGCGTCTCCAGCCAGTCAATTTACATTGCCCAACATAATGTAAAACATAAATATGATCTTTTTGATAAGGTGTGAGTGTTTGTTTACTTACAAGATGGATACCTACACACATATTAGCTTACTTATATGAATGGGTTGACACTGTTGATACTCTTGACAGCAGTAGCCATTATAATGGAAGGTCTATTAAGCTTATCACATGAACAGTGGTAAGTCAAGAAAACAGTGCTCTGCAATGAGAAATTTGCCAGTTACCTTTTCTGCCAGCTCGGTTTGTTCGATTGTCTCGAAGTGACTGGGCTCGACGTCTCCCAGACTTGACGTGATGATGTACCGCGCCAGAGGACTTGAGAATACCGGCAAACCAACTGTGCCCTGAAATTGCAAGTACCGATGGTCAGAGAATAAATCATAAGAATTAAAGGGTACTCTCGACTAAATCAAACATGTATTTAATTCTTGGTATGCTTTATTTTAATAGTCAAGAACAATGTCTAAATGTACATATGTCTCAAAGGCACACTTAGTGTTTTTTAGAGAACCTGCTAACAGTGCAGACATTGCGACCTAAGTTATCAAAATACATTGGAGTAAGCACATCTTGCAAACACACTAAATTGATGGGTAACTAAATACATACCTGGGCAGTGGTCGTGCCAACGTAGCGCCCTAGCGTCCTGAAGTCACCCTCATCCAGAGAGGTTGCGTCGATTGAGAATCCACGCCCTGAACCTGAAAAACATCAAACCTCAAAATCAATAGGGGTCATCCTCATCCCATGGACAGTCTACCTATTAAATTTCATGACTCTAGGTCAAACGGTATTTGAGTTAGAGTTCGGAAACCAAATTGTTGATGCCGTCGCCGCTGCCGGAATGAGTAATCCCTACGTCTCGCTTCTTGTTACGCAAGGCGAGACAAAAATGGTCGGTCTGCAGTTTAGAAAACGTTTTCTAAGGCCACCACCTTTTTCTAAGGCCACCACCTTTTCTCCCCTCCCCACAATATTTATAGTATGGGCTGCACGAAATTGCCATACTTACTGTTGCTGAGAACAGACGACCTCCATTCTTGTAGGATGAGACTGTTCAGCTCCCTCATTAGGCCGCCACCATCTTGGCCTTCCTCGGAGACAAACACCACCGAGAAGCCGGTGCCGCTATCCAGCCGCTTGAGTTCCTCAAGCATGCTGTCAATAGCAGCATCCCGCATGATACATAGTAGGGCACGTCCACTGAGCCTAGCGTTACACTCTTGTACTAGCTGTGCCAGTGGGGACGTAGGGCGCTGAAAAATATGGTGTTATTTAATACGGATTGTTATATGACAATGTGGCTTTGATTAAAGTAAATTGGATTCTAGGGACTCCGTCCCGGCGAGCTAATAAAGGTATGAATAAATATCAATAAAATGATTGATTGAAAATTTATACTGATGTGATAGTTAAAGACACAGATCACAAAATATTTTTCGACTTTTAATGCCCACAGACACCTACAGGAGTTCTTTATCAAAATTAAATACCTGCAGATGCAGCAGCAGGTATTACATATTGATTTTACCTTGCTTAAACAAGTATTAAGTCAATATGTAGGCCTAATACCTGCTGCTAAAAACTATTTTCGGACGCATATTTTTACAATGACTGATAGAGAGAAAATAATTTTCGGCCTCATGCCGTACTACTAGTATGTACGGAGTGTACATGTACTAGGTTTTGTAATACTCTGGTGTCCATCTTATGCACCAGCTGATTGTGGACACACCCTTTTATAGTCAGCCACCAGCTTCCTCCTGAATTTTTGTTTTCAAGATTTATATCCACCTTTTATAGTCAGCAGTGAGCTTCTTCCTGAATTGTTGTTTTCAAGATTTATACCCACCTATAATTCATTTGTTTAATTTATGCAAAAGCTAGAAAAAATATGTACTTACTCTTGCCACCGTCTCTTGTTGTGCTCGGGAGACTCGAGCTTGCTGCTCTGGCTCGGCAGCGATTGCCTCCTGTTGAGCCAAGCTCTCCTGGAATTCCTGGTTTTGCTCGCAAATAATGCAGTGGCCAGTGTGCCCCACTGTGTGTCCTTCTGAGCAAGTCTGAATATAAAAAAATCACCAATAAAATTCGAGCCACTTTATGAGGTCATTGGTGTTCTGATTTATTGTATATCAACCATGACATATGTCATACTGTGCTTTCGAAAAAATTGTGTTCGCCGACTCTTGGTAGTTCTTTGTGGAAAAGTATTATCAAGTTGATCCAATAAGTTAACCACCTCAAATTATATCGAAGGTCAGTAATGTTCATATGTTCTAAAGTCTCTAATTTATATTAAATAAGTATGTAACCATTTATGTAACCGACTTTAATTACGTGGCATGCCAATGATCACAATCTGTAAATACACAAGAAGAACACAAGGTTACGAATAACAATAGCAATTACATTAAACAAGTGCCGCAGAGCGACAGCGCTCACCTGACGGCAGGTGCTCTGATGCTAAACTCACTGGCAAACGAATAAAGAGCACCCTCCCATTACCGCGTTTGCGCTCTCAAGTAAGAGTTATGTGTGGAATTTCACTGTAAAATAGGATCTTTCGACAACCACAGGTACTCGCCAACGCAGTTGAGAAACAAATCAATGTTTAACCCTCCTCTTGAGGGTCAAAAGGTTATCCGACACTTACTCTTCGCATGTCAGCGGAAAGTACATTTCATGTTCCTTTCAATAAAGCCATAAAAATGGTAGGTCACCGCTGAAACAAAAAGGTTTTTCAATCGCTCCGTCAGACCATGTCCTTAGAAAATGTATAAAATCTGCCCTGTGCTCCATTGACCCTTGACCTGTGACCTCCAATTTTTGCACAGTGATGGCTTTTCCTACCATGATGCTATACACCGACTATCACGAGCCTAGGTCGAGCCGTTTAGATATGTGCCGCAATTCTGCATTTCCTCTCTATACCTTAAGTTAAGGAAGAAATGTTCCCCCTTCTTTTACAACTCTTGACCTTTGACCTTTGACACCCAGCTTCGACATCCCAACTCGTTTTCGGATTACTCCCCACCCCCACGTCCCGACTTTCAAATCCGTACGTCGAGCCGTTTAGATTTGTGCCCAACTGTTGACGGTCGCACGCACGGACGCACGGACGCACGCTCATAGGATTCTACAAGCTGCATCTGACTATGTCAGATAAGCCAAAAAAATCAGAATCCCCATATGCACACTCACTTGCGGAGCAGGTGGCGCTGATGGCGGAGCAGGTGGCGCTGATGGCGGAGCAGGTGGCGCTGATGGCGGAGCAGGTGGCGCTGATGGCGGAGCAGGTGGCGCTGATAGCGGAGCTGACGACTGGAATGTCTCACATGTTGTGGTATTGTTGTCACCATCCTATTTGAAAAAAACAGCAGTCAATGACCTGCGAGCTATAACAGTTAATAATTTAAATTAATAAATTTTTAAACTTTCTTCATGTACATGGAAATAATAGATCAGACAAAAAAATTAATGAATTGATGATTCAGTTTTATTAGTCGCATGCTATGCGACCCGTTATGGTTCAGCGGAAAGTTCGCTGCACCAGGTAGTCATGTTATGCCCACACATGGTTAAATCAGGCTGGAGAGCTTCCTGTCCTGTGAATAATAATATGGTGACAGACTGACAAGACACAGGTGAGATTTGAACCGCCTACATGTAGCGGAATAATCACTGAACTAGATTCAGTCGATGGGTGGCCATCGCATATTCCCACCTTTCACCCCCCCCTTTGAATATCGCCTCCATATTTCGAAAGGTTCATGCTCATCTGTGATGATAGATCAATGAATAGCCCCAAGTCTCTAACTTCTAAGTAGAACGGTATTGGAGAAGTTAAGTAATGTTACATTTGCTTGTTTGGATTATCTCCCATAGCTCCGCTAACGAACGTTGGATAAAAATTCCGAAAGGCTCATGCACACCTGGGATGAGATACCAATCAGTCCCCAAAGTTTGAAGTCTCTACGTTGAACGGTCTAGAAGGAGTTAGGTAATACGACATATGCTGGTACGGATTATCTCCCCTAGCTCCGTTTCCGAGCGCTGCATCAAAATTCCGAAAGGCCCATGCATGCCTGGGATGATAGACCAATCAATCCCCAAAGCTTTCATTTGACATACAACATTACCATCTTATATCCGAGTACACCCAGTTACTCCTGATTGGTCACTGGGTGGATTTAGATTGCATTATTCCGGTTAGAACAAAGCCCAATTTGCCGTTCTGATTAGAGGCTGTACATAAACAAAGCAGTGGCATCACTGGCATGACAATTTCCCGCATACAGTTTCGCGCCTAAAGAATACCCTGCCTAGAGCAGGGGCTATGTCCCGAGTGACATGCCTTAAACTGCAACACAGGCTGGTTCGCCACAATAGTCCCAAAAACCTTAAGAAGATTACATAATTAATTTTGTAAAGGAAATTATGTCTACCAGTACCATAGAAAGTGTAACATGATGTCTAGAACTGTTTGACTATCTGCCTGGTAACAAGGAAGGCAATTAGAATCGTTGTGCCTATTGCACTTGTTTAATTATATCATGGTTTTTCAAATAAGCTTTGCTTGAATAGGAAAGGCAGCCTAACAGCTGTTCTATGTTGACAAACAACTCGCCAGTCACATAGTAATAAAAACAGTATACAAGTATATTTGATATATAGTATATACATATAGTTATATAGTATATACACGATTATGCTTGTACGTGGTGCGTTAATATGTACAAATAAGCTTCCCTTGGATAGGAAAGGCAGATATATACACCTGTAACAGTTGTTCTGTGTTGACAAACACAACTCGCCAGTGACATAATACTAATAGTAATAACAACAGCCGCAGAGGGACTGGGCTCATCTGAGGTCTGTTGCTACGGTTATAAACGTAACATTTCAGTCGTGCGTAGTGACACTTTTGTTAGGCGCCTGTGATACTATCAGCCACCCACCTGACACGCAGCTAGGGCCTGCATACCTCCCAAATCCCATTGGTTGATACAAATTACGTGCCTGAAACTCCTGTTTTATGGTGCTTTGTGATCCTAACCCTAACCCTAACCCTAACCATATTAAAACAAAAAAATTATAATTGTTGTAAAATTATTTTTTGTTATTAAATTGTTGTAAATAAATCATGTAAATATTTGCTTTAATTGGGGAAAAAATAGTTAAATGGATAAAAATACAGAAAACAGAAAAATAATTAAAAAACAGACGGGATTCGATCCAACGACCTTTCAGCCGTGACGGCCGTGCTGTACGCGTTCGGCTATTCAGGCTTATTGGGTTTATAGATTATGGATGTGCCCTGAATATGACAACACTGTGAGGTCATTGAGGCAGTTGAGGAATCCATGTTTAACCCTCCTCTTGCAGGTCAAAAGGTTATCAGGCACTTACTCTTTGCACGTCAGTGGAAAGCACATTTCATGGTGCTTTCAATAAAGTGATAAAAATGGTAGGTCAGCGCTGAAATAAAAAAGTTTTTTTACTCTATCCATTAGGCCATGCCCTCAGAAAATGTTAGATATCTGACCCTTCCCCCACTGCCCTTTGACTTGTGACCTCCAATTTCGCACTGGTGATGGGTTTCCTGCCCATCACACTATACACCGAATATTAGGAGCATAGGTCGAGCCGTTCAGATTTGTGCCGCAATTTCGTATTTCCTCCTATACCTTAAGTTAAGGGGGAAATATTCCCCCTCCGTTTACACAAGTTGACCTTTGACCCCTGACCCCCCAAATTGGTCATCCGGAGTCCTTTTTACGATCCCCCCGACGTCCCGAATGTCGTGACCGTACGTCGAGCGGTTAAGATTTGTGCTCAACTGTTGACGCACGGACGGACGCACGCACGCACGCACGCACGCACGCACGCACGGACGATCATGCCATTCTACAAGCTGCATCTGACTACGTCAGATGAGCTAAAGACAGTATACACGTATATTTTTTATCACTTATGTAATAATATTTATCTAAATAACCTTTTTGGGTCTTTCGGGAACCTAAAAAAACTTTGTCCGTGTATTTTGACGACCGAATATTGCAATTAAAAGCAGAGCAATCTACATCGCATCATTTCGATTTCATTTTTCATTTTCATTTTCATTTTTATTTCGCAAAGAAGTAAGTATACTGAAAATAATTATCTTTTGGCATCTTTTGGTTTCTCAATTAGCCGACCTACTTCGTAAATGTTACTAAAACATATTCCCATTACACTATTAAAATAATTTATGTTTTTTGACAGTACCGGTATGTCTAATCGCTTACTACATCGTTGCTTAAAAATACATCATCTGTTATCTACAAATCTATTATTATTCACTCCTGATTATATTGTAGTAGTTTATTTTAATAAGTGCATTTTATGTTACAGTTACAGCCAGTTACCGTCGCAGATTCACAGGACATTTTAAAAGGTGCCAGAAAGAAGAATGTAACTTCAGTGTAGACAATAATATACCACAGTGTAACTCTCTTGTCCATTGTTTCAGATTGAGTCCCATCATTTGTAATCTGTATCAAGTACCATCATTGAATAAAGACTGATTCACAAAATGGATGCGTTCCTATCTATGATGGGACTCATTGACTGGTGAAGCCGCTTCTATCGCTTGACAACTCCCTGCACTCACAACACGATGCCGGTTATTGCCTGCCCCATCGACGAGTGCGATTACGCCACCCCGGACGTCGACGCGATCGTATTGATAGACATTAAAACACTCGCTGTAAGGGAAGAAAACACCATGGTTGCACGGGTTACCCTGCATAACATGCGCCAGGACCGCGACGAACCAATCCGTTCATTCGGCGCTCGCCTCCGTGGTCAAGCTGGGGTATGCAAGTTCATCATGACGTGTCCTGGTTGTTCAGACGACGTGAACTACACAGAGGCTGTACTCCGTGATGTGTTGACACGAGGCCTGGAGGACACCGAAATACAACTTGACCTACTCGGGGACAAGAACCAGGAAATGACCCTTGAAGAGGTGTTTCAATTCGTTGAGGCGAAAGAATCGGGCAAACGCTCCGCCTCGCGTCTAATCGACCCACACACTAATGGTGCCGAAGCAGTCAGCAGCTCTTACAAACGTGGCATAAACGATTCTCTAAAAGATCGCAGTAGGTATGACAATACGAATATTGACAAGTCAGAATTGTGCTCATACTGCGGTAAGAAAGGCCACGGAGTCCGTAACCTCGCCAAGGTTAGACAGAAGGAATGCCCTGCGTATGGCCACACATGCCAACGCTGTGACAAAAACCACCACTTTGACAGCATGTGCAGAGGCAGGAACAAGGCTAAGTACAAGACGATGGCAAAGTCATTTGATGAACACGAAGGTGCGGTGTTCGACCACTTGTGCTCAATCACTACTCCTGCTCGACGCAACGGTGGAAATATAACTCTCGACCACCACCTTTACAACCAACTATCAGACACTTGGATAAGGCGCAAGTCCAAACCTCAGCCGTTCGTTAACCTCACAGTGGGGGCACACCCTGAAGACTACAAACGTCTTGGTCTTACGCTCACATCCACACCCAGGTCAGTCGTCATCCCTTCAATGGCTGACACTGGTTGCCAAAGTTGCCTGGCGAGTCTCAAGGTCGTCAATCGGCTCGGTCTAGGTAAGGCCGACCTCATCCCAGTGACATTGCGGATGAATGCAGCCAACAACAAAGGCATCAACATCTTGGGTGCAGCAATCCTACGTTTTTCTGGCAAGGACACATCTGGCAATACGCTTGAGACACGCCAAGTTACGTACATCACTGATAACTCAGACAAACTCTTTATCAGCAGAGAAGCTTGCATTCGCCTAGGCATGATCAGAGACACATTCCCAACTGTAGGTGAAACCAGCAACGATCAGGCGGCACATTCTGGTAGTGATGACCACCTAGCTCGTGACGAAAATGACAGCGGGCTCGCGACCGAGTGTGAATGTCCTCGACGCCAGCTGCCGCCCCCACCACCGTCGAGTCTACCATTTCCAGCGACTGAAGACAATCGAGAGGAGCTGAGACAATACCTCCTTGATCGTTACAAATCGAGCACATTCAACACGTGCGAACACCAACCACTGCCGATGATGGAAGGCCCCCCGCTACATCTAATGGTGGACCCAGATGCCGAACCCGTAGCAGTACATTCTCCCGTGCCTGTACCCATCCATTGGCGAGACGATGTTAAAGCTGGATTAGACAGAGACGTACGGCTTGGCGTACTGGAACCAGTACCAGTAGGTGAACCGGTGACATGGTGCCACCGCATGGTCGTTTGTGCAAAGAAAAACGGCAAGCCGAGACGGACAGTTGACATGCAGCCACTTAACACGCATGCAACACGTGAGACCCACCACACACAGTCTC